AGGAAAGCCAATGAAATAAAAAAGATAAACTATTAGAATTAATGAGTGTTCATTAGTACTGTTGATATTTACTTGCATTTCTTTCGGTGATAATCAATGCGAAAACAAAAGATATATGATTATTAATCAATATAGCAATGTATACACACATATGTAAGTAAGTGTGTGCATTCTAGGAAACATTATCTTGAACTCTAATACATGATCTAGAAGATGAGGTTTGCTTTTCTGTTTTTGTTTTAATGAGAGAGAAACATTGCTCATAGATAGGAAGACCTTACTATTTAGAACTTGGACGTCATAATTAAAACGATCTCTATATTAGAAATTCCAGCTCAGAATGGTTTCATTAAGAATACTACTAAATATTTAAATGAGAAGTAACACCATATTTGCACATCTTTAGAAGAATTGAAAAAGACTCTACCCAAAGAAGTTCTATTAAGTTCAACATAACTCAGTACAAAAACATGGCTAGGACATTATAAGAAATAAAAATTATAAGCCAATTTCATTCTCTAAAAGAGATATAAAAATCCTAAAAGAAAAAAAAAATTAGTGAACCAGATTTAGTGTTATATGACCCAATTGGTTTTATTCCTCATGGAAAATGCTTATTTAACATTTTAAAAATGAATCAATATAAAAAACATAATCATCACAAAAATCACAGAAAGAATATGTGATGAGTTAAATGTACATTCATGATTAAAAATTATTATCAGAAAATTGGATACTTCTTTAACTTAAAAACAAACATACTTCAAGATGAATTATTGAAATTTTCTGTGGTTGTAAATAGAGATGGGGGGGTTATCATTACTCCTATTTAGTATTACATTCGAAACACTAATCAGTTCTTTAACTGAAAAAAAAAAAATTGGAAAGAAAAGATGAGATCTGTCAATGTTCATAAAAATACATGACTGTGTATATAACAAATCCAAAATAATCTAAAGGTATGTTTTTAGAATTCAACAAACACAACAAAGAGAAAATGAAAGTTTCAAAAGGTACTATTTATAATGGAATGAAAAAAAAATCAAATTAAGAATAAAAGGAAGTGCAAGAACTCCACACACAAAAAAGCTATAAAATGAAAAGAGATCTATATAACTAGATAGCTATACCAGGTTTATGGATCGGAAGACTTAATTTAAAATGGTGCCAATTTGGGGCACCTGCGTGGCTCAGTCAGTTGAGTGTCCCACTTTGGCTCAGGTCATGATTTCATGGTCCGTGAGTTCCAGCCCCATGTTGGGCTCTATGCTGACAGCTCAGAACCTGAAGCCTGCTTTGGATTCTGTGTCTCCCTCTCTCTCTCTGCCCCTCCCCCTTCATGCTCTGTCTCTCTCTCTGTCAAAAATAAATAAACATTAAAAAAAAATTTTAAATGGTGCCAATTCTCTCTAAACCAAGGCATTGCTAAGCAAAATGCCAAGAACACTTTTGTGGAAGTTGGTAAGTTAAATGTACATGAAATATATATGAAAATTCACACTGCCTAACCTGAAAGAGAATAATAAATTGGAAGAACTTATTCTACATTATAATTCTCAATTTTGGCTGCATGTTATAATCATCAGGGAGATTTTCCAAAACCTGATGGTGACACCGCACTTATCACATAATTAAATCCTTATCTTCTGAGGAGAGACCTAGGCATCGATATTTTCGATATTTCCCAGGTGTTTCATGTGCAACCAAGTTTGAGAACCACAGGTCTTAGAGCATATCATCATACATAACATAACCTAAATTATGTATTGTTGCAAACCTGCTTTAACTAAGATAGGGTGAAATTAATGTAAGAATAGCAATTAGTTGAATGGAACAGAATAGATGCTGTGGAAGGAGACCCACACATATATGGACACTGTTAAGGACTAATGTAGCCCAGTAAGGCAGTAGGAAAAAGGCAGTTTTTCAATAAAAGTCACTGCACCAATTGGCTCCATAGAAGAAAAAATAAACACTAATCTCAACCTCAAATCATATACAAAACAAAATCAATTTTAGTAGATTACAGATCTAAAGGAGGGAGTAAACAAATGGAATAGATGCTGAGAGAATGTCTTCATGAACTTAGGATAAAGAAAATTCTGACAACACACAAAAAGGAAAATAATTATAAACTGACTACATTAACACTAAAATTAAAAACTTCCATTCATCAAAAGGTGACATTTAGAAAATGAAATGTCAATTTATGGACTGAGAGAAGACATTTGCAACACAGGTAACTGACAAAAACTGATAAAGGGTCAGGACCCTTTCTTTCTCTCTCTCTCTCTTTCTCTCTCTCTCTCTCCACACACACAGACACACACACACACACACACACAGACACACACACACATATACATACATATAAATGCAAATATATACACATATGTATGTATTTAAATTTATAAACTCCAATAAAGAAATGAGCCACCAACATGAACAATGTCTTTCACAAAATAGAATTTACTAGGTGCCTGGCTGGCTCAGTCGGTGGAGCGTGTGACTCTTGATCTCAGAGATGTGAGTTTGAGCCCCATGTTAGGTTTAGAAATTACTTAAAAATAAAATCTTTAAAAAAAATAGCATTTCTAAAAGGCCATTAGTCACCAGGGATATGCAAACTAACCATGAGCTACCCTTATACTCTTCACAGAATAACTGCAATTACTAAGTGCTACCAAAGACATGGATTAATTGGGACTTTCATAGACTGCTGGTGGGAATATAAATTGGTATAACTACTTACTTGGAAAAATTGTTTTTCATTATCTATCAAGGCTGAACATATACATAGCATATGACATGGCAACTCCACTTATTCATATACCCAACTGAATGCACATACAAGTGAACACACTTGGACAAGAATGTTAATGACATTACTGGTAACAGCTCCAAAGTGGAAATAATCCAAATGTCCGTTAGCAATAGAATGGATAAACAAATTGTGGTATATTTATCCAACAGACTATTATACACACTATATAGAACATCATGGGTTAATTTTACAAAGATAATGTTGAACATATATGCCAACCAGAAAGAATACATACTATAATTTTTCATTTGTGTAAGTTCATAAATGGACAAAAGTCAGGATAATGGTTACCTATGGAGAAGATGGTGGATAATGATTGAGAAAGGGCACAAACTAGAGCTTTCAGAATATTTGCAATTTTCTATTTCTTGACTACAGTGGTGGTTATACAAATGTGTTTACTTGTGAAAATTCGTCAAGTTGTTCACTCTTTTCTCTTAATTGAAGTGTAACATAGTAGTGACGTAGTAAAGAATGAAGATGGTCGGAACACATGGAGAGACATGCTATATTCTTTTGTAAGATGACATAAAGATGTCAATTTTTCTCAAGTTAATCTATAAACTCAATACAATCTAATGCAAATTCTACTAGGATTTCTTAAGTAACTAATTTCTCTAAAAACATAATTAAAAGGTCTATGAACAGCTAAGTCAACTTAGAAAAAAGGAGTAGAAACAAGGGACTGATCTATACATGAAATATATTTTAACACTTAGCCTGGAACTATTGTTACACACATTGGGTGATTTGGGCACAATCAAGAAAAAACAGACTGATGGAATAGAAGAAATATTTCAGAGACAGACTGATCCAGATGTGAGTACCTAATATGATGTAAAAGTAGCCACATAAATCAATTGGGAAAGGATGACTAGCTTCTCAAATGGTACTGGGAAAGCAGATTTATTATATGGAAAAATCTAAAACTGGATCCCTCTATACCATATCTAATCCTCCAAATGGTTTAAAAACTAAATGAGAAATATAAAACTGTAAAGTTGGTATACAATAATAAAAATATCTCTGTAATTTCGTATGCAAAGCTTCAAAAACACAAACGATGAAACCAAAAAAAAAATGATTTGGGGCTGGCGTAGGAACAAAGATACATTTCTTAATATTGTATACATGGAAAAATACAGTCTGATTCCGTATAATCAATTGACAAATGAATTAAACAAAATCCAGTGCTAAGCTGATATAGCAGAGGTGTGTGTGTGTGTGTGTGTGTGTGTGTGTGTGTGTGTGTGAGTATGAACTAGGTCTGATATTTGTCAATTTTTATTGCATAATATAATAATATATATGTAACACATTATTTTGTCTTGAATGTGAAAGATTGGACTGCCAGAAGTTATTTACCTTAATTTTCCAGTAGTTTGTCTGGATCTAATTCTATTACTGCCTCAACCCTACCACTCTTGTGACCAAAAATATATATTTTCCTAGAAAATAACTCTTTGTCTTGCATGTATTCAAAGTAATTCCTTAAAGATTCTAGGGTACCTGTTAATAGGCTTTAACATTTTTCTACTGAACTAACATCATAAGTCACATCGAAGTACACTAACTTATTAAATAATCTTAATGAAACCCTGATTTTTCAATACAGATTCTTAAAAATTACCTTGCAATTAGTAGATATTAATTTCTATGCCTTCAAATAAGAATGTCATTATCTAAAGAGTTAGGAGTTAGGCCACTCCAGAAGAAGTGAGAGAAATGTTGGCATAAGCAACATTGCAAAGTGGTTCAGAGTTTGGTTAGTTTTTCTTTCTAAACACTGTGCGTTTAATAATTGTTTTTGTTTTTAAAAAATACTTTTTTTATATCCTAGAAATATAAACATGGATAGCGACTCTTCACTCTTGGAGTATAACCCATTTCAAAGAGGCAGAAATAATTTACCACTCACGTTGGACTATCTGAAGGCCTCCAGAAAGCTCACACTTTTCACTCCATTCCTTTTCCCTATCTACCCCAGAGTCCTATTAGTTTCTCTTCTCTAGCACTCTTAGATTGTGACAGTTTTGTCAGTTACTTTCTCTCTTTTGTGATCACCTTCCTTTCAAAGGAACTCACATATTTTCTATTAAAATTTCCCCCTCCGGTTTCCAAGAGTACATATCTTATGAGAACTTTCTAGCCAGCCAAGAGATAGGAGAGTGCTTACCTTCAAAATAGATGCCCGACTGGACTTCTAGAACCCTGGGAAGGGTCCTGAGGTCAAGGGAGTGAACGAATTCCTCCAGCGTCATTGCCATTGCGCTGACTTGGGTCTTGTGCAGACCTGGTACTTACAGAAGCTCCTGGCTTCTGGGTGTCACTTGTCTGCAGCTGTAGTTTCCCCTTCTCATCCTCCCTCAGGCAGGCAGGGATGTCACGCTACAGTCCAACTGGGGTGGAGTAGCTCTATGTGGGTAAGACTGTGAAGAGGGAAGGAGGAGGCAGGGGACAAAAGGTGTGACAGCTCTTTTTGTTCTCATTGTGGCTTCATTTCCTTCTGATGCTGAAGTAGAACAGGATGGGGGGGGTGGTGAGCATGTCTAAACAGACAATGCTAAAAAAAAATGAGAGCTGATTAGCAGCTCGCTCTGTTGCCAGCCAACAGCAGCAAGACTGGAGTGAGAGTTGCTTGTGGCTTTTCAAAACCAGAAAGGAACAGGAATACAGGACGACAGTCTAATCTTAAAAATGGCACCATGTTAATTCTTTATCTCTTTAGTTCATTTCTAAAATTTGGCTTTGTGCCTTATTTGCATACTCTCAGTGCTTTCATATTAAATTTGGTTACAAAAGTGCTTGGTGTCAGCTCTTTTGAGAAATCTGATACTCTGAAAAGAGAGGATCGAAACCAGTTTTTATTCTTCCACATTAAAAATTTTGCTGAATCTTAAAGGATGGTGGGGGAGGGGTACAATATGCAAAGTGAAACAGTAAATTAATCCAGTAAATTAACATGAATTTTTTAATCACCACAGTATAGTGAAAGTATCTAAATCTGTTGCAAGGGAACAGTTTCCTGGGTTTGGCTCTGCTTTTGATGTAGAGGTGACTTCAGCCTCAACTTCTCTGTGCCTAATTTGGTTCAATTATTAAATGAAAAAAAAAAAAAAAGTAGAAGGAGTCAAATAAATTAAACAATTTCTTCCCAGGCTAAAATTCTGCAGTTTTGATTCTGTGGTCCAAACTTTAACTAGGGAAAATGCCTGAAGTCAAAGGAAGCCAGAGGAGCCTGGTTGAAACAGATCTCTTAAAAAATTCTCCCTCTCTCTATTCTTTGTATTTAGCAGAAACAGTGTTTCAGACCTAGTGTATACAACTCAAGCTGATACTTTCTAAGTTTCTTTAAGGATGAGTAAAGGAAGACTAGTTGGTATACATACAGGTGAAAGATACTAAGAAGCTGCACATTCTCCTTACAAATTGGACTCCAGGCTCTCTGTTGAGAAACTTATGGCCTCAGGCTTCAGACGGCATAGGCAGACAGAGGGGGTCGGGGCTCACCCTAGCTCCACCATATCCTTCACATAAATAACCAAGCAATAAAAGCATAGCCTTAGTTTGAGACAGAGCTTGCAAAACTCTTTCAGCTCTCAGAATCATATTTGACATTTGCAATAATCTGCCTGGTTTCATTTCTTTCTTTACAAAACTAGAATTTATGGGGTCATGTTAAAAGTTTTTCACTAGTAGCTTCTACTTCCTCACTTGCAACTCTTTTGCCCCCACATCTCCCAAATTTGATCAGTCTGCTTCTGTACTCCTCGTCCCAAACTCAGGCTTCTTAATCCAGTGCAAACATTGTTTATAGCCTAACAGCATATCTTACTTGGCAGAATATATAAAACAGGCTGCTGTGGACTGCTCCTTAAAAATCACACATCTTTTAGAACTGGTGCTACAACAAATTTCATTTCATACCTAATCCAAGCTAGACTTCACTTGCTGTTTTTGTTTTTGTTTTTCAGTTTTCCCAAATCAACTTTCTATCCTAGTAGCCAATGAAGCCTTTTTGAAACATCACCAATATCTTACAGTTATGTATAATACCCTGCTTCTGCTCTTTGAACAGATGACCCTTGGTTTGTGTCACAATCTGATTCTCCTACATTTCCAATCTCAGTTAATGAGACTATCATTCTCCCAGTTTCCTAAATCAGAAGGCTGCATCAGGGGAAAGGCCATCTCCGGCCTCCAAATCCCTCAAGCCTTCTAAAATGTGGCAATACTCAATATCACAGTCTTCTGTTGTTGCTCTGTATCCCCACTGTTACTACTTTAGTCTAGATCCTAATCACTTCTGACACTGTAGGGCAAGGAAATCCTGACATGAACAGCCAAGACAGAATTGACAAAAAAAAAAGGCATTGAGACGGCATTTGAATCACCAGTTAGTAAAATGGATGACTCAAGTTCAGCAACTAAAATAGCAGATTACAAGTGTAATAATAATCAGATTAATGAGGGCTCAGAAGCAAACCAGAGTACAAGCAATAATTTACTACATGAAAAAGGTGAAATCCCAAAGCAGTAGAGAAGAATGTTTTATTCAACAAATAGTTGTTAAATAATTTATGAAATAGAAGTTAGTTTCCTAAAATTCTATGCAACAAAATTAAATCTAGATAAATTTAAAAATTAAATTTAAATAAAAATAAAACAAAGGAAAAGTAGAGAAATGTCTGGAGAAAGTAAGGAAATATTTTTTCTTTTCCTTTTCCTTTTTTTTTTTTTAAAGGTTTATTATTTATTTCGAAAGCGAGAGAAAGTATGGGGGGGGGAGGGGCAGAGAGTGGGGGAGAGAGAGAGAATCCCAAGCAGGCTCTGTGCTGACAGGGGGGAGCCCCTACCTACATGGGGCTTGATCCCACGAACTGTGAGATCATAACCTGAGCTGGTATCAGGGAGGTTTAACTGACTGAGCCATCCAGGCGCCCCAGGAAAGAATTTGTTTCTAAGCAATAATGAATGTCTTAAAGGAAAAGATTAATAGATTTGACAACAGAGATAGGAATTATGTCTATAAATCACAAAGAAGCTTTAACAAAATGAGGGTGGGGAAGCACATACTCAAATTAAGAACTGATGTCCTAGATGTATAAAGAGAACTTATTAATTGATATGTAAAATAAAAATATTGAAGGACTTCTGTTTCTGGCTATGAGCTTATATCTGGCCAGCTCTCTTACAAAGGGCAACTAGAAAAGTGAATGGTTTTTTGAAACTCTGTTTTAAGGAACAGAAGAGCCATCAGGGCAGTCAGGACCTGAAAGGCCAAGTCCAGAAAAGCAGAGAAACACAATGAGGGGAACCCAACTCTCCACACTTCTTTTTTCCTCGAGGCATTTGTGGATTAGTAACTGGCACAAAGAGAGAGGCTGAGAAGCGGAACATAGGTGGTGGTTAAGGAGGAGAGAAGCCAAGTTGAAGTTTTAGCAGTTTCACATAACTAGCGAGATAAAAATTGGAATTTCGGGCTAGCAAGGCATCCAGGGAAACAGAGAAATGAATTGTCCATTTTCCCCCTTCAGGGTTTTGCCCATTCAAAAATAGTACAGGGTTGATGTATGAGACACCAATTAGAAAGTGATCGGTTAGAAGCTGACAAAACCAAGCAGCACTTTTAGCAGTTTCATTGGTGGGAAGACTGGGCCTTCATTTACGGGAAAGAGCTCCGGTAAATACCCTGTGTTTTCAGCTGGGGCCCCTGAACGCTACTCCCTAAAAGAAAGGTTGACTATAAATAGGCCTTACCAATATTGAAGGCCAGATCAAAATTAGTTCAATCCCTGATTGGATTAAGGTGATCTGCCCCCATTTTAACTGCCAAACAAAAGCAAAAGTCAACCTTGTCATTGGGGAAAGCAACCAGAACTTCTATAATTTTTTAAACACAATGTCTAGGGTCTGATAATTTAAAAAGGTCCAATATGGAGTTATCAGGAATGTAATTTAAAATAATTTTGATTCGGGGCACCTGGGTGGCTCAGTTGGTTAAGCATCCAACTTCTACTCAGGTCCTGATCTCAGGGTCTATGGGTTCAAGCCCCGTGTTGGGCTCTGTGATGACAGCTCGGAGCCTGGAGGCCGCTTTGGATTCTGTGTCTCCTTCTCTCTCTGCCCCTCCCCTGCTCACGATCTGTTTCTCTCCCTCTCTCTCTCTCTCTCTCTCTGTCTCTCTCTCTCCAAAATAAATAAACTTAAAAAAATAATAAAATAATTTTGATTAATATGTTCAAAACAGAAAGCAAGAAGGAGAATTTCAGTAGAAAACGGCCATCTATAAAAAGTATCAAATGAAATTCTAGAGTTGAAAACTAACAATAACTGAATTAAGAATTCAGTAGTTGGATTTAACAGAAGATTGGACAAGGGCGCCTGGGTGTCTCAGTCGTTTGAGCGTCTGACTTCAGCTCCGGTCAGGATCTCACGGTCAGCGAGTTCGAGCCCCATGTCGGACTCTGTGCTGATAGCTCAGAGCCTGGAGCCTGCTTCGGATTCTGTGTCTCCCTGTCTCTCTGTCCCTCCCCCACTCATGCTCTGTCTTTCTCTCAAAAATAAATAAACATTAAAAAACAAAACAAAACAGAAGATTGGACATATGAGAAGGCTGTTAGCTGGAAACAGGAAGAAGAAAATATTACTCTATTTACAGAGACATAAAAAGAATTCAACATTAAGAACAGAAGAAACATTTTAGCCATAGCGAAAAGGTCTTCTGTTTACATTGCATCCTAAATGAAAGGAGAGAGGGGACAGAGAGAGAAGCAACATGTTAAGAGACAACAGCTGAACATTCTCCAAAGTTGTTCAGGGCATAGCCATGCGGTGCGGGCTCCCGGCAATCTGTCTCTTGTTTCACCAGCGTTGCGGGAAGAAACCCGGGGACGCCCCTTTTTCCAGCCTCAGACCATTCTCCAATCTCTTTCCCCAGTCACAGCCTTGAGAGCCATCTTCTTAGCTATCCCCTGCCTCGAGGACGAGCCAAGGCCGATTTTTGCACTTAACTCCTTACTGCGGGTCAACCATGAGCCCCAGGTTCATCAGAATTATTCCACCAAGGTGGAGCCCCCCACCCCTCGCCCCCGGCCCCCTGCCCCCAACGAACATCTGCAGGCCTCCTACACCTACCTCTCTCTGGGTCTCCATTTCCAACGTGATGATGTGGCTCTGGAAGGCGCCGGCCACTTCCTCGGGAGTTTGCTGAGAAGCGTGAGGCCTTCCAGCGTCTCTTGAAGACAAAAACCCAGCTCTGAAGCCACGCCCTCTTCCCGCGCGTGCAGAAGCCTCCCCAAGATGAGTGGGTAAAACCCAGGACGCTCCGAAGCCGCCACGGTCCTAGACAAGAACCCGACCCAGGCGCTTTGGCCAAGAACCTGACCCAGGCGCTTTGCATCTGCCGGCGCAGACCCCACCTCTGGGACTTCGGAGGAGCCACTTCCGGGATGAGAGGTGAACAGCATCAGGGATGGCGGCCACCCAGCTCCCCTCTGCAGGCTGGGCTGGAGAGTATCTCTCTGAAAGCTCACCCTCAAGCACAACTAGGAGCCTGCGGGGCCCAGAGCCTTGCATCCCCCTGAGG